AAAACTTCGATCGACTTTGAAACTTAGTATTATTCCGAGTAAACCTGAATCTTGTCATAGCTATCCTGGCCTCTGAAGTTTTTACCCTTTCTCATTAATTGACTGATAAATAAAACAATAAGTCGTCGAGAGCTGAGAGTCAGCTGTCGGCGGCTCTGTTTTTCCAGACTAAGATAAAGATTTTTCTTTACTTAATGGTGATTTATCTTATCACACGTCATAAAAAGCTTTTATGGACTCAAATCACGCGGCAGTCATAAGCCGAATAAGTTGACTGAATAAATTTCGCTTATTTTTGAGACCGTTCCATGTTCTTGTTAAGTCGAATTTTCGAAAATGAGCGCAATTTGTTGGCGGATATTCTAGACGTTCGCTGAAACCATAACAAGTTTTTATATTTCCATGCACTTCTACCCTATTTTGGCGAGTCTTAATAAAAACATCGTGGAGAAGAAACTGGAATTTTGCGCTGAGCCGACATAGAGCTATTTTTGATAATCGGTGTTGATAAAAATGGGCGTTTGAGCGCTGGTGCGATTTTCGCTTGGAAAAATATTATTTTGCCATAATTGAAAAAAACAAGGTGGTTTAATGTTAAACTTTGTTAATGACATTTGTGACGGTCTGGATTATTTGGGTTCTGGATTATGCGTGGTAGACCTTTAGGAAGGAATACTAGGGTGAAGTGAGAAAAATTAGAAGACTTTAAGAGATTTACATTTACTTTAGCTTTCTGAAACGCCAGGACTGAAGAATTGTACTGGGTGAAATATAAGTCCTTCTTCTTTGAGGTGGGGTTTGACACTGCAAAAGAATGTATGAAAAAAATTAATGGATGGAAAACGTACTCGTGCACTTTTTGTTACGGGGACGAATTGCAGGAGAAAAAAACATCCAAGTCTCGTACACACTGTAGTCTTTGGAACAATTCTACCTGGTTGATTTACTAAGCGCTCCGGTAAAATCTTTAATCGTAGACAATTACTTGAAAACTTGTGGTTTATAGACATTAACGAAGCGTCAAGAAGGAACTTAAAAAACATAGCTCAGTGCGCCAATAGTTATTACTGACAAACCTGAGGTTGCGTGACACATCAGACAGCGCACAGAAGTCCTATCGTCTTAGAAAAACATCCTTCTGGTTTGTTTTGTGG